AAATAAAAAAAATGTTTATAATGATGAAACAGTGAAAAGATGTTCAAAAGAAAGACAGGAAATGAAAAGAATATCAAGAATAAAAAGATGAAAATTTAAGAAAAAAAGTAAAAGAATGAGACATGCGATTAATGAAAGAATTACAAACAAGACTCAATTTGACTAAAGACAAGACTGAAGAAACCATACAAGATGTACAGGAGGGTCATAATAACAAAATCAAATAAAAACAAAAGGGCAACAACAACAACAAGGGAAGTGCAAAATGACATCAGCGAAGTAAAAAAGGGGAGAACAAGCTATCAATGAAGTGAAAAAATACAAAATGACATCCACACTAGGATAAATCATCTGGAATTTTAACTGGATCAAGCTAGCCACAGCTCTCTCTTTCTACATTTATTTAAGGTTATAGCTCCAAACATCATTAACTTTATCACATGGAAAAAGAGAACCCATCTGGTCTACACTTGTTACTACTATTATTGTGCTGTCTGTAACTGCTAGACTTTCTTGGACTACTCCAGCTACACCACTATCTCATGAAGTTATGTAATTTAACAGGCCAGTCCACTAACACTATCGAATTGAGAAACCAATGATAGAAATATGCCATGGGAGAAGCTTATCAGATGCAGTTTGAAATAATTTACTAAGTAATTGGACGGAATGATTAACAGCAAGCATTCATCATGCTGGTAATTTAGAAATACCAGCTTTATAAACATTAAGTAACCTTCCAACAGACAGCCAAAACAGCTATAAAGCAGTGATAGCTACCTTATCAAATAGATTTGTAGTCTCACATCAGAAGTGAGTTTCTAAAACAAAGTATAGAAGCAGAGTAAAGAGGAAGGATGTGACCTTAGCTGAACTTGCTGAAGGTATGGGGAGGTTTGCTCAGTTATTTTATTAAGACACTGTGTGAATCGATGGGTTCAATGGCATGTGATCAATTCATAGATGACATGTGAGTTGGGCTTAAGCAAAGTAGATGTATATCTTTAAAATTGCTGAGAAACTAAAAATAACATCCTAGAATTACTGGATCATCAGATCAAGTAGTGTGAATACATTAACTCCCGATAGAAATCTAGAAGAACTCAAAAGATTAGTTAGATATCAAGTATTCAGAATTAAAGGACAATAAGTATTTCAACAGCAGCTTAAATGGACATAATGAGAGGAACTGCAAACAAAATCTTGTAAGAAAAATTCTAACCGGGCATTATAAAATAGGAATTAAATGAACTTAGAAATAATAGGCAAAGTTCAACTAAGAATATTCCATCTGCCCCAACTGAAATATAGAGTTTATTATTTAAGCAATCATTCCACGAGTAAATGGATACTTTTTGGGAAGCCTTGACCAGTCTTAAGCAGATGGCTGTATATTTCCAATATTATATAGCTTTATAGCACTTATACTGATCATCAATAGTGCCCATTATAGGATTGACTGGACAAGACTAATAGAGCAAAATTAGATTATGATATTTAGCTTTATTTCAATGCCTTGATTCATTTGATAGCTCTGGTTATCATAATGTTAACATGGCTGGTGCAGTTGTCTGTCAAAGGTTACTCCTAGGTACTTCAGTGTATCTACCAAATGGATGGCAGTGCCATAAAGGATGGTGACGGTTTGTCCTCATCAGCATGTCTGTTGTCTAGTATGCAAAACATAGCTGTGGCTTTGGAGAAATTGAGAACATTCTTGTGTCATTGCACAATTTGCTCACCCCACTTAGGGATGATTCCCATCTTGTTTTCAATTTTAGCTGTGATATAGCCGCTTCTGTAAACCAGAATATCAACAGCAAAGATTAGCATATGTCATCTGATTGGACTGTCAAAGTGGACTAGATTCATGGTGTAAATGATTAAGAGGACTGACAAGAGTGGTAATTCTAGAGGTAGACCAGTATTGAATGTAATTCAGCAATTTGTCATCAATAATGGGCAGCTGGGCTCTACTGTAGGAATCTTCCAGATCTAAAGTGTTTTGACCAGCTTCTTAACTTTCTCATGTGAACTGAGCAACGCTGATCAAGTATATCTTCCACCATAATAGCCACGTAGTGATTGGAATAGCATTGGTTCAAATTGATAGAAAACCCTTCTAGCTACAGTCTTTTCTGGGTTCTTGCCAATAACATTTTGTAGAAGAATGATTAGATTGCCTTTAAGATGAGCTTGATCTTTTAAGTGTTTGGGTAAGGATTTGATAAAGGAATCATTCCATATTTCAGAGATTCTCCTGTTGCCCAGCTATGTTGATACTCTAATACTGTCTTCAACATGCAAATTTGTCCAAACTCCTTAAAGAATAAACTTGGATAAGGACTGCTGTACCTTAAACCTCAATTACTTCTCATCATGGTCACATTGGTTAATGTACATGAAGGTCTTTTCATCAGTGTGGTGTAGGGTACTGACCTATATGTTTTTCTTCCTATGCCAGCCATAAACTTGAAGTGCTAGGATGAAGTGCTTGCTATATTGGCTTTACTGCACAGTTAATTCAGCTTAATGTTTTGTGCTTTGAAAACTGACCACCTGTAGAGAGCAGAGACTATTCTGGGCAACCCTTGCCTACTCTACCAGTGTTTGGTCATGCCATTAATGCATGAATTCAGCCTGGGCTTGACTGCATGCTTTTTAGGATTCATCAGTACCATGGTTCCACCAATATAGGATTTTCTTTATGTAGAAGTTGTTGCCTTGACTTTGATCACTGGTGAAAAAACATACGAGGGTACAAGCACTGCCAAATAGCTTGTATGAGCTTCGAGATTGTTTTATACCACCATGTCTTCCAGTCTTCATGTTCACCTCATACATGGGTAATCACTATTGACTTTATATCCCTATGCCATGTAGAGATGACACTTAAGTTGGGGTTAGCAAAAGCAAGTTCTATACAGTAATTCTTAATGGTTCATGCAAGTTCAGCAGTATAAGGTTGATAGCTATACAGTGGAGAGCAGAATGTAAACCCTTGTTGTTAGTGTTTTCATCTGCATCTCGAGTGGAGTGTCTGGCAATGAAGTCTCCTATTGCTAGGTACCTAGGAGTAGCATGTCAAAACAAGTCATGCAGGAACATTCAGTCTCCAGCATGATGTGCTGTACTTCCTTCTATGTACACGTTGGTGATTCAGATGTGTGTAGTTAGCTTCGGGTGAATTATCAGATTGTTTTTTAGCTTTCAAGTGTAACTGTTCTACTAAGAATTGTCATAATGTTCATAGCAGACATTGCTGTTGTGTTGAACTGAAATGCCCATCCGAACTTCAAGATCAACATGTTATGTGAAGTTAAAACCAGTGAAAATGAACTCCTCGAGGTCCGAGAGTTTTGTCTTATGAAAGAGCATAATGTTACAAGATACAGAGAGCTTTTTCCAGATAGTACTTGCATCCTCTGATCCTCCTGATATTGCATTAATCTATCAAAATGTGAGACTAATGGACCCTAGTGCACTTTTTTTCGCGTACATCATTTACAAGTCGGTGTTTAGTTCACAGTTTCCCAATTTTTCTCCTGGTGGTTAGTCGTGGTCTTCTGTTGAGTACACAAGCTCTGTTGCCTCCATGGGTACCTGTTTGAGCACTATTTATTAATGTATTATTGTTTGTAGGAAATACATTAACTACTTACTGTTCAAAACTCCTGCTACTCCGCTCTCTCTAACAAAGCAGACAAGTGATGGTTGAACAGTAGCCTATAAGAATAAGGTTGCAAAACTTGAGTGGCTGCACATTGGCCTTTATGATATAAAGATATCCCCTCACCATCGAGAAGCCTTCTTGATGCAGGGCCTTATGCCAATCGGCCTTGGTTATAACTGGCAACAAGGCACGTCTGTCATTTTCAGCCTCTAGTGACAGTTTTATTTTCACTCATTTCAAGGTTCCGATGTAACACAATCAAAAGGATATGCAAAAGGTGTTTTAAACATTTTCAATAACACATTTTATATAATATTTTTGGCTGTAGGTATTTCAGTAGAGTTAACCTAAGTTTTAAGGTGAAAAGGATGACAAATAGAAAAAAAAAAAGAATGAGTATAAACAACCTAAACCATATGATATCCCATTTTAGGCAAAGTATTACAATTATAGATTATATATAAAATACTCTCAAGAAAGGTGTAATTTATATTAGTCTACAAGATCGAAAATCTATGAGCCAAAATTAGCTTTATCGTGTACATCGTTCAATGCATAATGTTAATTTAGTACTAAACGAGGTAGATAGAATAATAGAGAAGTGTTATGTTATGGAGATTTTTTTTTTCAAATGATACTGTTTCTGTTTGTTTTTCTTCTGGTCTTTTGAATTAAAATGTTAGACTTTTAAATAAACAGGTTGGTATACTGCTGTGTATAAAATTATCAGTGTAATAGAAAAAATTCAAAGGGATAATATTAAAACATCGTATAAGCAAGTTATAATCATTTAAAATTTACAGGTCAGGTCCTTTACATTTTACTTTGTAAAATCAAAAACACATACAGAAAATAAACCTTGAGTAAGATATTTGTCCATTAATGAGTAATATACATGCTAATACAACAAGTAAACTAGAGCCTATGTTTATTAATTGAAAATAAACTGTACTATAGAAATTATCTGCAGAGTTTTTCCCTTTTACGCAAAATGTTATAAAAAAGGTAATTGTCACCAGTATGAATCAAGTAATCTTGGTTGTGTTTTAATGAAGAAACTACAAGTTAATATGAACAAACTACTATATTAAATTAGATACAAGGATTTCCAACTTATATTCCTTCCTTGAATATTACATCACGTATAAACTGATGTTATCAATATTTTATTTTGTGAATAAAAAAGGAACAAAAAACCTGAGTAATATGAACATTGTTAAAATATGATATGATGTCCAGAGTTTTAATACTCGTATAAAATTTGTTACTTGTGGTTAATGTGAACAATTTGTATGAAATTCACAATAAATCACAACTTGCAGCTATATACAAAATTTCATATTTTAGTCTAGGATTACCATCACGATCTCTAAAAAAAAAAGGCATTGAATACAACTCCAGACAAAAATCAACAATTCACTAACTTCAACTTTTTTTTTTTAGATTTACAGAAGAAATTGAGCAAATTAGAATGCTTATAACTAAGCAAATTCTATCAAACTACTAATTAAATTAGCAAGAAAAATATTATGATAAAAACAGAATAAAGGAAATGAAGTATAATCATAGTAAAGGAAAAGAAATTCTATTAGCGTGTTAATAAAACCTTTCAAAGAAAAACAAGTTACCAAAAGAAATGTCAAGAGTTCAGAACTGGTATACATAAGAAGAAACTGTCACAGCGTTAGTTGGATAGCCAAAAAGAAGAACTGGAGGTCTACACACTTCGTTTATTTAAACTTCTTGCCGATTTTTCTGGTGAACTTTATACAGAGAGCCTAGGTTATTCTCAACGTTGATGGTGAGTTGAAGCTAGGTTAAAAAATGACCAGAGAAGAAAAATAAAGGTTAGTAGTCTCATTAAACTTAAGACATAAACAAATGAAGTTTCTTTTCAGTTAACGTTATCGATAAGGATAGCAAAGAAAACGTATAATCTCATTGTTATTGGTCAGAGGACAAGAAAGATTAGTAATGGTATAAAACAACAACAAAACATTTAGTATAAAACACTTTTTTAATACATCAGATTTTTAGCCCCTTCTGTATGCGAAGCAAACTGAAGTCCAGAAGTGCTCGCTTGTAAAGCAATACAGGCATTTTATTGTACGATGATTAGAAATGACACCTATTATTGTTAAACTTCTTTGCATACAGAAGAAATCAGAACATGCAGTATTTAGCAGAGATTTGTCACACAGTATTCTAATTTTACAAGGCTTAACCACGTATTTTTGTTCAATAGATTTTATACTTATTACTTAAGTAAGAAATTCGTTGTAAAGTTTCTTTTCAAGTAACAGTTTTTTTTTGTTTTTGCAAAATATAATGCAAAATAAGCAGTGTAAATTATTAATCTTCATTTGTCAAAGGACCAAAGAAAAGATCCTAAATGTTGTTACTTTGAAATATCAACTACTGTATTTTTTGGTGTATAAGACGTACTTTTTTACCCCAAAATTTGATATCAAAATCTGCTTGCGTCCTATACACAAGCCATGTGTAAATATATTTAAATAGGCATGCATAGTTTAGTTCAATTGAATGTGTTATTTATAACAATAGTAGTTTTTTTTCTTTTAAAAACATAACTATTTATAATGCTCTCTAAATAATAAAAAAACTTTCACTGTAATTTAAATGAAGATTTTGTAGGTTTGAACCAAACTAAATAACAGTAAACCTTTTTTTGATTTACGGTATTTTTCTATTTTGATGTTTTGAGCTCCTTTGTGTTTAGAACAATATATACTAATTTTTAAAGTATCAAATTGAATTTTTGTTCAATAAAAATCTTTCAAATGCGACTGTAGCTTTTTTCCCCCAAAACTTTGTTTTCAAAATAAGGGTGAGTCTTATACACCAGTGCGTCTTATATTCCGAAAAATACGGTAAGTGTATGTGTGTGTGCGTGCGTGCACGCACGCGCGCTAATACGCTAATAGAAAAAAAATACAGCAATAAATCAATTTGCTTGTCAAGAACTTTCTTTGGAAATTTATTTGCAATTTTGAACAAACCACAATATGTAATAATATATATTTAAATAGACAGAATGATATACTTTATGTACAAAACCATCAATGTAACAGACAAAATGCAAAGGGTAATATAAACACTTCATACTAGCAAGTTATAACCACTTAACAAAATTTACAAATCAAATCCCTTTGCATTTTGCCCAGTAACAACAAAAATACACAGAAAAGAAACACTGAGCAAGATATTTGGCCACTACTGAGCAATATATATTCATACCAACTGTACATCAAGTCTTACATTTCTGGTGTTAATTAATTATATTGTACTGCACGGACCATCTGCACATCAGAACCTACAAGCAATATCTTGTTACAGCAGAAAATGCCATACCTTTAGTACAATGAAAATAGATATTACTAGTAACAATGGATTTGAATAAATTTATAATTATGCAAGATTTCTTTATGCATCAGTACAGAAATGGGTTGAATTAAAATTGGGCTGGAACTGAAATGAAGGAATTCGGAAAGTTGAAAAAAAGAAACTAAAGTATATAATGTTACTCTAAAACATAAACAACTTTTCTGTTTTTAGCAGTCTATACTAAGTGCAGATTAGAATTTCAATAGAATGTTTTAACTAACTAAAACATTATTCAATATTGCAATCCGATGGTATTCTTATTTCTCTTTAATAGCTTCTCTCACCTTTGTCATGAACTTGATCAAATAGAAGTAACATGAAAAAGTTTGTTATAACTGTGTTTACGTAGACTATTAAATATGAAAGTTTTTTTTTTTTTTTTGTTATGCTTCATATGCAAGATCTAGAATAAAAATTTTGTTCATAAAAAAAAATTATTGCAACTGGGTTTTGATTTCACATAATCTACTATGGAGATGAACAAAAAATATATAATTTAGAAATAATAATCTTCAAGAGTTAAAAAAATTATTTGAGACTTTCTTCATAATTTTAACTCAGGTATACGTGTTAATCTGAAAGTGTCATATATTTTTCAGTTTAACAATTAATGGAGGAAAAAAACGTAACCTAGGCCATCTAAAATGAGAAGCATCATAAATTAGAAGTTGATAAATAATTTAAATATGATTTTTCTCTAGAAAGCAACAAGCCATGGAAAGAGAAAATGTCCAGGTAATTGGTACAACCAACCAACCTTGGTGATATTCTAGGAAAGTATTCCTGTTCTACTGTAAGGGTGAGCTCTTACCCCCACATGTTTCTTCTCTTTATCAGTTGCACCAGCATCTGAACATGAGGATAACATTTAGTAAAAAAGCAGCAACAATGGAAAGTAAGTAAACCGACCTTTTTTTTTAAGCATCAAAATTTACATTTTTAATCTATACTTCTAAAAACACTTACCATCCCCAGATTCTTTAATTCAAAACTTTTGTGCAAATAAATCCATGTTCATTTTACAACTATTTTCAGGTTTGGAAGTTTAATAAAATGTTTTATGGTCCCACTCATAAATAACAGAACCTATTGTTCATAACTTAACTAAACATATCAATAGTACAAAAATAAGATATCTTAGGAGAAATAAATGACACAACAAAACATAACCATCATTTGAATTGATATTTTAAACACTAACTACAGTACATCATATGAAAATGATTAATTATGTGACACATATTACAAAGGACAAAATCCATCAATAATGAAACAACTGATTTTTTTGTGGGAACTCACTGCAAGATTGCATACTCAGCACCTTGTATGGTTTTCTGCAATTTTACAATTTATTATTGTTAGAAAATAAACAGAACTAATGTAAAATACACTATGAAAAAATATACCATGGAGGAAATGTCAGAAATAAATCCCACTTTGAAATCGGGAAAATATTAATAGAAATTACACACAGAAACTTTGACAATTTCCAAAAATGTTTTAACATTATAAAACAAAAAAGATGAACAATATCACAAACAAGACTTTCACATACAACTTTAAGAAACAACATACTTACCCATAAGTGCATTTTTCAATTACCAGCTGAAAATTCCACTTATTTATAAAAAAAAACAATGTTTTTACAATTTTTTTTTCTGCTGAAAGTTACTGTTAAGTAAATTTCTTTTTAACAATAAATCTGAACAGAAATATTTAATTCCTATGTACCAAAAATCTGATTTGGTTTTAAGCTAACCTTATATCAAAAATTTATATTATCTACTCTTTAAATACAATAATCCTGAGAACCAGTATTGATAATGCTTATATAACAATTAACTCAGTGAAATACAAGATACCACAAAAGATGGAAACCTCAATTATAAAGTAGTTATAATAAGCGTTATGATAATTAATATATAGTATATTTAGTCTACAAATATTATAATTTTTAACTAAACCAAACAGGAAATAAATTAAAAAGAAATCAAATCATTCAATAATTTTGAAGATTTTAAACAAAATCAATTTGGATTTTGATGTATTTTGGATAAGTCACATTTTCTTAACTGAAAAAAAATAAATTAAACTTATTTTGTTTTTCAGATAATTTTGGAAAATTTTACTTTGTTGTTTCTAGTATACCAATGTTTAACATTTTGCTTACCTCATAAGGTTAATTATGATCTCATTTTTTAAATGCACAACTCTTAATCTTATATTAACAAGTATATCTCAAATTGCATCAACTTACAGGTTTGCAACTTCGATAAGAATTCAATCATTATTCACTTTTGAAAACATAAGACAGCTACACGTATACATACATACACACACACACATATATATATAAATTAAGCCTCATTTACAAAACTCTTGGTCCCATAACCCAACATAATTATCATAAATATTTATATTCACAGTCTACTAAATGTACAAGTCACATAAACAAACCTCATGTTTGAACATAGAAGAAACATAATTGACTGGCGATTGTACACTCACTAGTCACAAAAGTCCCTGCCAAACCATAACCATGAAAACAAACAAAATAATAATAAAAGAAATCTTCAATGCCCTTTTTTTATAATGCACTCATATATAAGTGTAGTGAAATTTGAATGTGATAATGAGACAGGACATGGAGTTAGCCAGATGTTGAGTAAACTTACTGTAACCAACTTTCTAAGGACATGTACAAGAAAAGAAAATAAAGATCAGTTCATACAGGCTGATGGAATATGCATCTATTTCACTAGTGTAATATAATATACAAGTCTTTTTAGACGAACTACGATACAAAAATTACAAGAGCAAATTTCGTTGAAAGTAGCAAAAAAGATAGTGAAATTTATGTAATATTGCAGTGAAAATAATTATATTCTTTGAACTGGATATTTATACAATACTTTGTATGAATATCAATTTTCCTTATACAGCCTTGGTTATAAGTTGATGACATTTGTTGTTATAAGGCTTCAAGAGAGTACAAAAAAGGCTACAAAATATGGAATTGAGGTTTTAGACAATTTCAAATCCACCAAAGGATTAAATTTCAGCCTCCAGAGACTGAAAATTTGCTTTCACCAATGATTTTGTAGGGAAACCTTTACTAACCCCATAAAACATAATGTTGGTGAAACCTCTTGTTAAGTTCAATTTACTCTCAACACTGGCCTAAAGACTCCATGTGTGCCAACGATGTTTAGGCTACTTTGTCAGTGATCTACCAAACTCAAACAATAACAAAACGAAGCTACAGTGGATACTCCTTATCGCCCAAACAACCCACCCGCAACAGATGTATGGTACTCTGTAAGTGGCGGAGAGGTGAGGGTTGTATACTGATAGTCCGTGTATGGAGTATAATTATAAACTAGGCCCGCCTCTTGAGGGTTGATCAATGGTGGAGGAATACTGCCGTTGATTAGAGCTGCACTTGTGGGCAGTGGAAGTCGATGCGAGAGGATTAGAGGGGCTCCTATAGGTGCAGCTGTCCGCAGATGAGGACTCAAAGTCAAAGGTGGCGCCAAGACAGGCAGAGCTTCAGATTCTAGATAATGATACAAACCGAGTTTGTTGCCTTTTTAAAGAAAGAAAAAGAAAGACAAATATCAATAAAATAAACTTTATACATTGCTATATAAATAAAATGTGATGCTAATATATTTCGGTCGCACATCTAGACTAAAACGCAAAAACATTGTAGTCGAGGTAATCTTGCAACCTGTACTTCTTGTAATTAATTTATGCAATTAATTATAATTACCAGGAAACTGCTGATTTTTTTTTCGTATTTCTATCAGATTTAGACATTTTTCATTATCAGTTAACAGCTATACAAAGATCTATACATATACATATAACAGACACACAAAACATTTGCGGTTAAATTAGTATCATTATTGTAACAGTACTTTAAATATAGAATTTCTAGAATAATACAAACGAATTCTAATCGCAGACACAGAAATCTACAAGTGCACTTGTCTTAGGCCTAACATTAGTTGAGCCTTTATTAATTACGACCCAAAATTCGATAAAAAGATAAATTATCATGGTAACTTGTGTAAGTTTTTCTGCTTTAGTTTAGTTAGGACTAAACTTTACCGTACTTAATAGTTAATGCTATCAATAAAGAAACTGAATATTATTCTACGACCTAACGTCAGACCTTTATTAAAAACTTTAATAAGCTTTTAATATACTGTTGTACAAAATGTCTACATAATTATATTTACATCTGCCTTTTATTTTATTTTTTACCTCATTTGAAATGAAGTGCACGCGGATTTAAACAGTAGACTGACAAAAACTGAGTATATATATATATATATATATATATGTATTATTATTATTATGTACGAGTATTATTATAATTGTAAGAATAATTTTGAAAAACAAAAGGTAACAATTTTATCACACCATTACTTAAAAAACATCATTGGTTCAATTGTATCATTGCATAAAGTAAAATATAATTGTAGTTGTGTTAGAAAGTTCTGGAAAAATAGACCGATTTCTTTACCTTGGAATAAAGAAATCTGAAAGAAGGAAGTAAAAATTCTAGAAGTTAAAATATATTTATATTCGTACGACATTTATGTAGTTTTGTTAAAATAAAGCATTTTTCACTACGAAGCGGTGCAATAGTATTTACTGTTAATGTTACACATTGAAAGGTCTACTTACTTGTAGTTTTTGTTCCACTGTCTCTGTAGGTGCCTCTGATGATGGCTAACTCCATAAGCTGTCGTTTTTTCAGTTCGTCTTCACCATCAGTCTAATTTAAAATATTATTTAAAAAGAAGAAGATTAATACATAAGAAAAAACATTGTTTAAATTCACCAATACCATAAAAAACCTGAAATTTGTACTTTCACAGGTGAAAATTTATTGTAAGTTTGAAAACTGAATAGTTTAAAAAAGAATGAACGGTATTATTGAATAAAATCAAAACGTTCATTAATATATCACAACCTTAGAAACCTCTAAAAATGTTTCTTTAATTAAGCCTCAATTTTATTTGCTTACTATATTTATTTTCTCTAGAAATATTTTAAAAAATTATCACTGCATAAGCAAACAGGTTTTGCTAACATTAAGCAAGTCATTTCACTGTCTAATTTTTTGGAGCTTTTGCTTGTTACTTTCAGGAGGATTTCATTAGTACAATGTGAATGGGGGGGGGGGGTCTGTATTGAGATTAAATTTCTTCCAATAAGGGGCTG